CTTGTGCGGCTGCACTAGCTGACAATTGCTCAGGGCTTGCGGTCTCAAGGTCAAAAAGATCTGGTGGACGTCGTCCAGTTGCTATCTCTATTGGTGAATATCCACTGATTGTCAATTGACAATTTCTTGCCCAAACTACCTTCTTGACCACTTCTCTGACCGTAACACCACGAAAACGTGGATCATCCAGATCTACTTTCATAACATGCCACATACATTTGAACAAACGTACAGCTGTCTCTGCTCGGTTTGGCCAAGGAGTTCTTGGTCCACAAGGACGTTGTTGTATACCATCAAACCTGTAGTATTCAACAAAAGCATCTGTGAAAAAGGCTTCGTCTCCTACGATGGCCTTCGGAACACAGTTGTTCTCATCAGACCACTGCCTCAATGCTTGAATGGTGGTTTGATCTATGAGGTCTTTCTGTGCCGTAGCCCAGAGAAGATTTGTGGCACCATCAAGAACAGTAGAATGATATACTTGTTCTTGTGAAGTTCAACCTCACAATGATCAGCAAAAACAACATCACCTAAACATGAAGCTCTAATCCCGGAGACTCTGGCTCGTGGCGGAGGTGCCACTGAAGTGTTACAAACACGGCAGTTCCTGACAACTGATTCATACTTCTCTAAAACAGAGTCAGGAAGCTTCAACATAGAAACACGCCTACGAAACTGAGTAGGACTCATATGGTAGTGCTTCACATGAAGCTTATAAAGCTCTACCTTGTCCTCCAGTCTCTGCAACATCTTCCTATATGCCGGTGTCATTGCAACAACTTCACTACCAGGTAATGGGATTGAAATCCGCCTAGGCTCAAGAGCGCCATCACCTGGTTCAAGTGGTTCATGTTTATCACTTGATGGTCCTTTTGATGCCTTAGGAATTTCTACAAGTTCACCTTCTGGCCTCTCAGGTGGTTCTGAGGGAGTATACTCCTCAAGATCATCACCCTTTAAATCATGTGGAGGCTCAGATGGTTTCAACTTGTGTCCTTTCCAAAATGGATCGTAACCCTTGGAGGTATACCGAAACTTTGGCGGCACAGGCTTTTCCGCGGCACTGGATGGTGCACCTTCCTTCTCTGAGGAGAAGCCTGGTTCCCTGTCCTTTGCAATGGGAACCTTCTCTGAGGAGGAGCGCACCACTGCATCGGGATCACCAATGCCACGGTGCTCAATGCCAGCCTTCCTGATCTTTAGATCTGGAATTTTGGCATCTGGCTTGAACTTAAAAATTGTTCTACCACGCCATTCATAGACAATTTGTAGGTCCTTCCATTTTGCCTTGCGCCAATCATCTATCTTCTTGATCTCTTCTCCTCCTTCTTTCTTCTTGATGATTGTCAGTCGCAAGTCTTCCAGTAAGTCAGTGTCTACAGGACAGGACTTAGTTGCTGGGAAAAGAATCTTCCTGTAATCCTTGTGGTGACGTGTCAGTTCTCTCTTGTGAAGATCTACTTCCCAGTAGTCAACCACAGGATATGCATGCTCAGCTTCATCTTCATCACTATTGTGATCAACCGAAATATGGCCGTATTCATAGTGAGTGAAGTGAGAGTAAAAGCTCTTCTCGCGCCGAGCCTGCAAACGCACGTCAGGCAGATACCATGCAATATCTTGGAAGTCCAAAACAAGATGAGTACTGGCTGCAACCTTCAACTCCAAAAATTTGATACCTAGAGGCACCGATGTCAGGTAAGCATGTTGAGGTGTCAGCCTGAGTTCAAAGCCTAAGTTCCTCATCTGTGGCAAGCTCATAAGCAAAGGGACTTCTCCTTCTTCAACTATGTCGAACTCTGTATTGTGGATCGTCCATGCACGATCATACATGTAAATCACCAGTTTCTGAGAGCAAGAAGCCTTCTGAGAATTGGCGAAGTAAAACTTGCTCTTGGTAGCCTCAAAAGAGTACCATAGTCCACAATTTGGGTGATTGTCGACATAGTTACAAAAATAATCGACTGCACGCCTTGATCCCATAGCTCTAGTGCATCCAATGTCCAGGATTGCAATAGTTGGCGGGAAGCGATTCTCAGTCAAAAATGAAATAGCCTGCGTCTCCTTCACTTCTTCCTCAGCGCTCATAAGCGCAAAGCCATCAGGAGCACTTGTGAGCATCTCCTTTGACAAAGAGTACCTCACAGGGGCACTCATGTCATCGAAGATCATCTCACCATTGTTGACCTTACAGTCAGCTTCATCTTGACATGAGGTCATCATGCCTGACAGCAAGTTCACCTCACTGTCATTGACTTCAGCTGCTGTTGTCACACAATGCGCAAAGAAACCTTGGTGGCTTCCTGATGCTTGTGAAGATCTTGAAGGTGCAGGCAAAGAACGTGGCTGTTGTTGATTTGCATAGTTTGCATCTTGTTTGCCATCTCCTTTATCTTTTCCTTTTCCTTTCTTGCCTTTTCTCTTGCCTTTTCCTTTTCCTTTGTGGGAAAACCATGCTTCTTCAAGTTGTTGCCAAAAGTCATGGGCATCTTCATGTTCTCCTTGAAGATAGTCATTCATATCTTCGGCAAGAATAGCATCATATGCTACTTGGTTTGACTCCCAAGTGTCCTCATAAGGATTCTCTTCAAAATACTCATCTGGATAAGTTGTCGATTGCTCATCAGCATAATGGCCTTTACCTCGTCTCTTTCCTCCTTTTCCTTTTCCTCGAGGTCTGAAAAATCTGCGGCCTGATCTTCCTTTGCCTTTTCCTTTTCTTCTACCTTTTCCTTTGCCTTTTCTGGCTCTTCTTCCTTGGAATCTCCTCTGGAACCAAGAGAAATTCTGTTCATCATATACCCAAAAGACATCGTCCAGGGCATCAAGGAATCCTTCTGTTCCATCTTCTTCATCTTCGGCCCAATAGCCATATGTATACCATCGAGTTCTCCTTCGTCTAATACGAGAAATGATCTTCTACCTCCAGCACCTGTTGGCTGCATCAGAGGATTGTCTACTGAAGTCTTTGTTGTGCAGAACATCTCAATGAAAACTGTCCTCAACTCTGTTGTGGTGTATTGCTGCAGGACTCTACCACGATGAGTCATCAAAGAGGTGAGAGTGTTCCTCTGGTCCTGAGACAAATCGCAAGTGACAGCATGAGTAAGGCAATGAGATTTTCTCCTAAAGGAAAATCGTTCTGATGAAGAATTCTCAGATTGCCATTGACATTTTGCATGATTTCCTGAATTCTTTCCGCTGTTGGAGCTACTCCAGTCATCGCTGCATCAGCTTGCATCTGAGCTTGTACCTGAGGATGTACTTGTGTTACTGGATCCAACATGTCCATCCAACTGCTCATAAGCCTTTGGAGTAAAATCTGAAATCTTGTCATCCACTTCATCATGTCGGCTGATCCGCGATTGAAGCGCACGAATTGCATAAACCTGTACAGGAATACATTGGTTGATCCTTTCACAAAATATGGTCGTAGTACTCGTTTGAAGTATTCTACTCCAGCTCCTGGTGGATCATTTGCCTTCAATGCATCTCTGTCTAAAACTCGCTTGTATACAGCTGCTTCTCCTTCTAATCTGTTTCTCAAAGCTGGTCCTCTCTTCTCATCTTCCAGCTCGGTGATATCACACCAATCGTCTATGGCATCCTCATACGAAAACCATGAAGTCTTTCCATCATAAGATGGGGGCACCTTTGTAGTGACCTGTGTTGTCATTGCTATAGCTGCTGGTTCTCTTCTCACATGCCTATTCACATAGGCTGCTGGCTCAAAAGCCACATCCGCATCAGGCTCTTCCCAGTCGTCAATCCAATCCATGGCCGTTTGCCTAAAAGCAAGTCTATGCCTAGGAAAGGAGCTCACCTGGGTCTTCCAGGATCACTGCTCCGCTACCACTGAAAGAGTGACTAGGGTGTACACGGTTGAGGTGCAGACCGCTAGTGTCTTTTATGCGCAGAGTCTTATCCTCTTGAGCCTTATGGCAGTCAAGCATGGACACACTAGATAGGCCACTGGAGTGGAACCTGTACAAGTAGGCCTCTACATTTCAGGGGGGGGGGCCCCCCTACATATGAAATTTTCACGTGATGCGGCGATCCCGAGGATTCCAGCCCCTCACTTGCTAAAGCAAGGACAACTCCAGCTAGCTGGTGCTAGCTTTCGTGATAATTACACCTCTCTCACTGTTTTCCTTTTCTGGACTCCTTCGTCTTCTTCGGATTCCGCTTCCTTCCACGGCCCCCTGTACTGCTGCAGATTTACAACCACCCCCTCCCACACCCCTATTGCTCAGTTCGTTCGCCCATTGAGGACTCAGCCATGCCTATCGGCTGACTTTCGTAAAGTAAAAACCTAAAGAAACACATAAATTTAACCAGATCCGAAACAACGGCTTGTTCTGGGCTGCGACCTTCGGACTTTCGGCCACAGCATGGAACCCACGGTGGAAACGGACCGCCAAAGCCCATAGAACTTTGACAGAGCTGAGTAGGTGCCATGGAGGGTCAGGATTCGGCGAAACGGTCAGAGAGTCACAGGGCTCTTCGGAAAGGTTTGGTGCTTCGCCTGCCTCAGCCATAGCAAGCCGTAGGCCAAGGAAAAGCGAGGCAAAATAGGTACATCTGGCTTTGTCCAAAGCCATCTGGTTCTTCTGAACCGTGCTGCAGCTGTATCCATCGCACCAAGTATCTAACCCTTGTCTTTTCAATCAGTCTGCAAATTGTGCTGCAAACCTACGGAGCTGTCCAAGCATGTCAAACTGAAAAATGGATGCCGAGTTGACGAATTCGCATCTGCAAAAAGTTTGTAAAGGAAGGAATCCAACACAATCCTGTCACTGCTGTTACATGTGGTACTGAGTCCCTCGTCATGTCGTGCTCAAGAAGCCCAAAATGACGCTCTCACGAAAGAAAAGCAAGGGCCCACTTGTTCAGTCATCAATTCGGTGTACATTCTAGCTGCTTAGCTGTTATTACTAAATGCCAGACTTCACTCGCGTCATTCAGGAACTCCGGCTTTGCGCCACTGATAGTGGGTGTGCCTCCAAGTCAAAGGTGTTGTCAGGACATGCCTGGACAATGGGCACATCTGTCTTGAAGAAGAACGTTCAAAGGCTGTGCACCAAGCTTGGTACCATCAGAAGGAACAACAACGTGTCGGCAGCAGAGCTTGCTGATGCACGCACGCCTAGCAACAAGCTAATCTTACCTACTTGCCTCGTTACTATTACAGTCTCTTGAAGCCAAAGGGTGCCATTCAATAATCGCACTTATACACCTCTGCACAAAATGTGGAGCAATGTGTCCTGCCAAAGAAGGAGTTAGGCAGGGGGAGGCCACGCTCAGTTTCAGGCAGACAGCAGTCGCGCACAAAATATGACTGCTCAGGTATGGCCAAAGACTTGGCTTTGAAGCTCTATGTCACATCATCATTCAAGTAATTATACAAATATATACGTATATACAAAGAAAACATGTGTAGTTTCATTGTATGGAAGGGTGATTAAATGATACAGTGATGGAGTCAGCCTTTCTGCAAGTTCAAAGTTCTGTTCTTGCAACAACACTCGTGATAAGAATACAAAAAAAAGGAATTATATACGTGACATTCTGATAGCCAGCTCTCTCCAACCCAGGAGAAATTACTTTACATGCGTCACAGCAAAGTTGACTCATAACAAAGACCTTTTGGACTTATATAAGTATCAGTGGAAGACAGTGCATGGGGTCCTGATCGCTGCTCCGCATGCTGCCAAGCATGCTCAGCCTGCACACCAATCTGTCTTGCGAAATGGATTTCGTGTTTTTGAATGCTATGGCTACTTCCATGAACATAAATCACAAGGAGAGGCCGGACTAACCAAACATGCAAAATCTGGCCTCTCTAATGGCAAATTGCTGACAAGCAATCTGAGTAAGTCCTGGAACAGCTCTGCACAAATTTCACAAACAAAGGGTTGCTTCAAGACAAAAGTATTTACGGCGCCTCGTTGCAAACAAGGTCTGGATCAAGAAGTAGGGCGTGGTTTTCCTCGTCCGCAACCACTTCTGGTATAATCTCCTGAAGTAAGATTCCATCTCTCCAAACAAGGGCCTCCATCTTCCCCCAACGACCGAAAGTGAGTGAAACAAAGAGTGAGAGAGAGGGAGCAAGCAAGAAAGTGTCGTTCTCTAGAAATTTTGCCTGTAGAGCCGTTCCTTGACCCATTGTTTTGACAGCAAGTAGGGCAGTCGCTGCTTTGGCCTCATATCAATCTAAAGTCTTCACAAAACAACTGCATGGCATGCTGGGGTGATCTGAGAAGGGTACCCAGTCTGCAAAAGTTTGCTGAGTTCCTCTACAAAGACCTCTTTGCCTGGCACTTGAAAGTCTGAAATGCGTGGGGCATGCTAGCTTTTGCTTGAACATGGAAACATATTGCTTTAGCACCTGAAACACTCCTTCCTATGAGCAATGTTGCCTTCAACCAACTGGAACACCTGTGGTGGGCGATCAAGGGTTTGTTCGTGCCAGCCAAATCGGCAGCCAAAGCCGCATTGAACCATGCGTAGTGCATTAGCACCGGAAGCACCTTTTCCTATCTTGTTTCTAGGCGGGCGCAAGAACCTTTTAGGTGATGTTGGCTAAAGAGTCTCCCGCATTCCCACTTCCCAAAAGTGACAACAACAGGGGGTCAACACACAGAACACCAACAAACAGACACCAAGCGTTGTTGGGATGCACCGGCTGAGGCTTCAAACAGCAAAATGAAAGGACTCAGTTGCTAAGGGCGCCATTCACCGGCTTCACGAAGCCAAATCAAAAGAACAAGGGGCCACGCTATCTGCCTCAAGAGGCAATGCTCAAGAAAAGGCCTCAAAAGGCAACCCCAACAGGCTAGAGGACGGTGCCAAGGTCAGGGGGATGATCCCAAGGTTTTCGCCCGCCGGCGCAGTCGCTGGCATACTAAGCTAAGTCAAGGGATTGATCGTGTGACATCTAACAGGCACAAGCTGCCGGGAACCGTTCATGTGCTCGTTACTGTCTCACTACGTCATCCTTTTACTCAAGTGGCATATCCAAATCACTGCGATGGAATGAAGAGTCGCTTGCAAGACTTCCGTGATTCTGCCAAATGTGCCAGCCTCCCTGAGCAGGCTTCCCAAAGTTCATGGTTTGAAGGGCTTGAAGCTCTTCCTGGCAAAGCCCTTTTCACAACTGCAAAATGTCCATTGGATTCTTAGCAAAAGCAGTGGCAGTGGAGAACGTCAAGCATCTATTGGTGGGAATGGCACAAACCTTATCATTGGTCAACACGAGTACCGTACAAAAAATGTTTCTATCTGCTGTGCCTTGGAAAAGTAAGAGTCTTGGCACTTTTCAGTGATCCTCTGCATCTTGGGCCTCCCAACGAGGCGGTTCTTTGTTTTCAAGTTCCGTTTCCAGAAAGATGCGGTTGCCTTGATGCTGTTCTTAGCTGCGGCCGTGCAGGATCTGGAGGGCCTCAACTGCCATACAGCCCGTCTGCTTTGCGGGGAAGCATCACGAAGCTCGTTAGGAAGTGGTGAATCAAACATGGGGCAAGGAGGAGCACCTGACCTTGTGGGGTAGCTGGCGCAGTGCTGCCAGAACCTCCAATCACAACGCTGAATTCAGCTCTTCAAGGGATTGTAACATGCTGATTTGTCAACTTTTGCAAGCTTGGCAAACCCTACTTCCCATATATATATATATACATACCAATCGTTTCTAGCAAGAAAGTAATGGAAAGCCTATGGCGTCAAAAGTGGGGCTGTGCAACAGCTTGGCCTCTTTTGGCCGGACCTTCAATGTTTTTGGCAATCTCCTAGCAAGTGCAGTTCATATTACATAAACAGCCTGCATAAACTAGATGAGAGGAACATTAACACACTCAAACGAATGAGTTAGCCAAAACAAACATTCCTCCACATCCGTTCGCCGGTTTGAACTGACTACATGCCACAAGCGTCACAAAGGTGTCACAATCCTCAATCGGATCATCTTCTTCTTCGTCCACTTTGAAGGTGTCCAAGATCTCATGCGTGACCCTCAGAAACATATCAATACCACAGACTGATTCAAGATGATTCAAGTCTACCAGTAGTAGATTCATAGATGAAGACTATCCATGCTGTATGGTCAATCCTGCCTTGACAATCCTGCCAATGCTCGTGCTGAAAAATCTAGGAACCAAATCACTAGTGCGAGCGCTTCGTCAAGGAAGCTCCACCCTGCCGCTTGGGGGGAGCTTCCTTGAAAAAGCGTGAGCTATGCTGCATCCATACTAGTAGCGTCTTAGTAGCTAGGAGCGGGCTTAAGAATTATATATATATGATATGATATGAATGTATTGTAGTAATACTACATGTAACTATAGAAATACAGATAAAAAAATTAATATTCCACAGCGAGGTGCGTGCTCATGCACTCGCCACTTTTCTAAGCTCGAAAGGCTGGCTAAAGGTGCACCTGCGGACATGAGAACGTGAGGAACCTGAATCACGAACGGGCATGCGTGGTGCAAGACAGCTGGAAATTCTCACTGGTAACTTTCTTCTTTCGTGATTCGGGGCTCACAAGCTGAGTGAAGGGGGCGTTCAGCCAACTCCGAAACACTTCCCTCAGCTGCTTGGTGGCTTTTGTCAAGCCGTCGGCCCATTGGGCCGAGGTTGGACACCAGCGGATGGTGGCAGCAGAAATGAACTGCTGGATGCTTCTCAGATCCACGTAGGTGCGCTTCTCCGTGGTTCGTGGATACTCAGCTGAGATGGCATCGTGGAGACTCTTGCAGTCTGTTACCTGCAGTTGGTGGAGCCGCCATGAACTCAAGTCCTTCTTCGGCTTCTCACCTGTCAGCAACTCGCTGAGCATCAGGTTGGCGAAGTAGCTGCGATCCACGCAGTCATCGCAGGACATCGCTTCGCATGCGAGGGTTGACCTGCAAACCCGTGCAGATCTGTTGCTGCGCCAATCGATGAGGTTGGCTTTGGCATTCACCTCTGTGCGTTGGGGTGAGGTGATGAGAACCAAGGCGCCTTGTTGGCTGGCGCATTGAGCAGCATTCGCCCATGAGGCATCGGCGTAGCCGACTATGACGCTGGCCTTGTCCACGGAGCTGTGCAAGCTCCGGCTTGGTCTGGGAGGCGAGCCACTGTAGTGACCCTGTGACGGATCTGAATTCCGTCTGTTCCGCTGTGGAGAGCGGTCCACCCTGAGCGACGCGGCCTCCCTCCAACTTGCCATTGTGGAGTTGTCCACAAACTTGTCCTGGGTGACATGGAGGTGGATGGCTTCTCCATGTTTCTTGAGCGTCGGCTCCTTTCCCTTGAACTCCAGCGGCTGGTCCATGGCCCCAAGACAAGAGGCTAAGGAGCTCCTCTTTCTGGTAGCTTGCTCTGCAAGTCATCAAGAAATCGTCCACGTAGACGATGCAGAGAGAGACGAGGCGTTCGTCTTGCCTCTTGTAGAACATCATCTTGTCAAGGTGGTGCTGAGTGTAGCCCACTGACAACATGCGCTTGATCACTTCTCGTGACCATGTGCGTGGCGCACTTGCTAGCCCGTATATGTTCTTGAGGAATCTGTATGTAGAGCTTGGCTTTGAACGTACCAGCTCGGAGAGTGATGGCATCCCCTGGCGGCAAGAGGTAGAGGGGCTCTGGCCTCTCGTGGCCCTCGAAGGTGCCCTGCATGAAAGCTGTGGACACATCTCCGGCCCATAAGATCCATCCTTCAGGATCTGCTTCCATGAGGCCGTTGGCTCCTGCGGTGAAGATGCTGAGCAGGATGTATTCCGATACTCTCATTGGAGTCGGGCTGTCCCTTGAGATCCGATGCAAATCTGGATCTAGGTGCCGAGTGCGACCACTCGTGTCTTGGCGGTGAGCTCCGTGACCCTGCGCCTTTGCGCAGGATAGGCCAAAATGGCGGCCGCTTCATCATCTGGCATGATGGCTTCCACTGAGCCCCAAGTCATCCAGCCCTTTTCTTCCTTTTGGGCTGAGGCCACATAGGCCTTGATGTCATCTTCTGGCGTCTTCATGATCTCTCGCCAGGGGATCTCGCGCTCAAGCGCTTTTGCTTCTTTGCGGCTCATCAGCCGTGATGCTGGGTCCGTAGCATCATCTGGACCTGAAGATTCAGCGTCGGATTCTTCTTGAGCGCCGGTGAGGTCGGTCAAGAGGGCTGCATAGCCCTCGGCGTGCAGAAGTGGTAGCGCAGCTTGTGCGAAGGTGATGCAGTGCTGTTGGTTCACAATGTATGTGGGTGGTGAACCGTCCCACGTGTAGTGTGGTGGATTGATGCTGTCGTGCGTTGATGCCAGCATTGCCTCATATGTTCGCTTCTGTGGAAGCGTTGGCAGTGCAGTCTGCCCTGTGCTTGCTGCTTCTGCGTTTGTATCTGCTGCTGCCGATGCTTCTGCTGTGCCTGTATGTGAGCTGGAGAATTGAGTTGTCGTAGACCCTGATTGCCGTGCAGAGTCTCGTGCCTGTGATGCCTGTTCTGCCTGTTGTTCCACGCTGCCCTGCTGTTGCTGTTCTGCCTGTGTTGCATCTCCTGCCGGTGCAGTCGCAGGTGGTGCAATTGGCGCCGGTTGCCGTACTGGTAGAGGTGGTGTTTCTGGCACCGGCGTAGTCCATGCTCCTCGTGCTGGGGTCCTCGGTGTATGAGGTGTCCCTGAGGTGAGTCGAATTCGACGGCTGGTCGGTGTGCGTGACCGGGCCGTCCGTGTGAGACCATAGCGCTGTGGGTGATAGTCCAACGGGGTGGTCGTTGGTTCAGCCTGTGCGCTTCCAGCAGTGGGCGATGCTGGATATGAGTGGATGTGTATCCCACTCAAGTGTAGGTTCGTTGTTGCCTCTTGCTGTACGCGTTGTTCTGTCACCTGTTGCACCCTTTGGTGGAACGTAGGTGGGGCGCTCTTTGCCCGTGGTGTATCCTGAGCTGCCTGTTGTGATGCTTGTCGCTCAAGATGCTGTGGTGGCGCCAGAGGTAAAGCAAGTGGCATTGGACCTGTTTCAGATGCTGTGGCTTGTTCTGCTTGTGCTTCTGCAGCTGCCGCTGTGTTGTCCTCCAAGGCTCCAGCTGGTAGTCATAGGAGTCTTCATCTATTGGTGGAGCTGTTGCTTGGCGGTCTTCCCAGAGGCCTTGGCGTGTGTTGCGCGCTGCCTCTTTCAGCATTTGCTGATCTTCTCGGGAAGGTTGCCAGTGCTCAAAACCGACGGCTCCTCGAAGTTGCTCCAATGCTACATGCACTGTGGTTGTCCCTGAGTGGACCCATGCTGACTTGTTGTCCGGGTCGTAGGACAGGAATCTTGCCACAATCCAGGCTCCTTTCTTCTTGGTCGATTTGCCCTTGGGGACTTGCCAGCGCCAGTACGCACAATTCTGGCCTGGGAGCAAGTCTCTTTGGTGTGAGGCTGCCGTCTTCCGGAGCAAAGCTCGACGGAGTGCTTGACTGGTATTGATGTCTGCCAGGGCCTTAGCTCGCAGGACGGTGCCTATCTGGTCTGGGTGGCAGATGAGGGCGGTGTCATCTTGGAGTAGCCCTGAGCCAATCCTTGGGATCTGGCCAAACACTGGCGGTCGACCGTGGCTGTAGGTCATCGAATTGAGGGCGTGCGTCGCCGCTTCGATGGCTTGGTCGAAGTCATCCACGTTGAAGATGGCTTCTGCATCGATGATGCGTTCCACGATGTCTCTAAGAACGCTGTTCCTTCTTTCGATCAAACCCACCCGCCAGTGAGCTTCAGCGGGGATGAACTCGAGCCAGATGCCGCGCCGCTCGGCGTACTGCTTGAAGTGGAGGCCGTAGTTGGTGCCTGGGTCACACCTGATGGTGACAGGGAAACCAAAAGGTCGGAACCATAGCTGTCGGAAGAGCTGCAGTGTCGTCTCTGAGGACATATCTGGGAGTCTGGCTGCCTTATGCAGTAGTGTTGACTGGTCGATGATTCCCAGCACTGGGTAGTTGATTCCGGCTACATCTCTGCAGTAGAAGACGTCCGTCTGCAGTGAGTCATTGAACTGTCCCAGGTTGGCCTTGGGGATCGTCGGAGGTCTTGGCTGCTTGGCCGGCTTGGCCCGTATGCAGCTTGAGCAGTGCACATGTTTCACTGCTGTGATCATGTGCTTGGAGATGGCTCGTTGGTAAGCGAGGAGTCTCAATAGCTCTCGCTCGGATGGATGGCCCAGGTTCATACGCAGTCTCCTCACTGCCGCCTTCACTTCTCGTTTGGGATGCCCGGAAAGGTGACCATCTCAATGATGGATGAAGGCGCTAGCCGTGGAGGTTGCTTTTGGTTTCGTTGGGGTTGTGATACATCATGTTTGGAAGGTTGCTCCTCTGGTGGTGTGGAATTGATGGGATCGCCAAACCCATACCAGAAGATGCCATAGGCCACGCCTTTGGAGAACCGCTGCTTTGGGAAATGCATGCCATCCAATGCTTCGGCTTCAACTGGCCATCTTGATACTCCAGCACTGCTCCTCTGTGAGTGAAGCGGATATCTCTTGGAAGTCGTCGCTGAACTGGTGTCCTTGTGACTTGGACACGAATGAGTTCCCATGGAACTAGGTTGGAGATGTTGTGGTGCAAAGGGTCTGTGTCCGCCAAGGTGAACGAGCGGACGGTGGTGGACCCAAAAATTCGATGGACTTGACGAAGAACATCCATCCATGCTGCTGGGCCCTGCATAGGTTCTTGATACAGGACTTCATGCGCTGTGAGGAAGCGCTGTGGCCATCGTCTGCGAGCTTCGACCTTGATGGCACGAAGGATTGCCCTGCACATCTTCTCCGGGTAGCGTGCACTGAGTCGGACTTCCTTGCCGATGAGGGGCGCGCAGTACATCTGTTCTTCTTTGGTGAGCTTCCTTGAGAGGGCAACGGCAAGCTCTCTGGAGTTGGTGAGCCACTGGTAGACCTTGCGGATTGTCTCCTCGGCTGTTGCATCCGCCATATGCTCCTGCGTGACACTGGACCACATACACATCATCCCGGATGGCCAGGGTCTGAAGTTCTGGAAGTTCCTAGATGCGAGATGGTG